AAAAAAATGTCATTATTCCCAATCCCACCACCTTTTTTATCCTTTGAATATGACAGACTTCCAGCATATTCAAGGGTCTCAATGGTGAAGAGTCGCACTATTCTACTACTACAAGCACAAACAATTAGCTTCTTGCTTGCTTTCTTCTATGCATATAATACATCAAGGTTTGAAACATACATTATAATACTAAAGACCATGAGTTTAAGGACCCAAACATGGCATTGGATTGTACTGCAAAGTCAAAGAAAAACCACGAATGCTATATGGGCCTCCAAAAATATTCCAGTTTCCTTAAATACTAATTGGATCTTTTGAAATCCACCAAGAACCATATGGGGAACATAAAACGAACCTTTAAATCCACAGACTTCCTTACTGACAAACCAGAATGTATAAGGCACAAAACACCTGTAAACAACGGAATGGGACTTGTGAGGTCAAACTTTACAATCTTAAATGCACTATAGCTTACATTGATGGGAAATTAGCCTCAACCTGCATCAGTTAATGCGTATAAGGGGAAAATTCACCAGCCTGGCCACACATAGTAGTTTTATCAGTTCTTAGGGAGGATGTTACAGATATAAATGACCTTCCCTTCTGAAGACCAAGATTGACAGCCTTTCCATGCATTGTCATTGATACATTCCCTTTACTTATACGAGTCTTTGGGGATGATCTAAAAGTCCAGAACATTAAGTGTTTCTTCCCAGCAGTTATAACGAATTTCGCATCTAATGAGAAGCTAACTGATGAAATAGCAGAACAAGATGCACTTGCTTTAAGCTTTGTAACCAGCATACCAATCCGCCACTCCCACAGATGGATGTATCCTCCAACAGACACCAAATGTCTTCCTAATATGATTATAAACAGCAAAAATGAAGAAATCCGAAAGAGACTATGGAAGCAGAATAATAAGGCTGAATATTAAATATTGATGATTGATTCAAGGCTTAAGCTAACCATCAGGTGAGAATGCAATGCATCCAACTCCAAACAGATGACCTTTAAGCTCAGACACCAAGGCTAGTGTCTCAACGTCCCACACTAACACTGCAGGTT